CATCTTTCTCCCAAGGAGCAGTTGGTGGTTTCAAACTGCTGACCTAGCAGCTAGCAGCCCAATGCATAACCACTCTATCTCCTTAGGAATGTGGGCTGCAATTCATGTGTGTGAGAGGTGAAGGTACAAAGGAAGGCTTTCTTCCTGCGAAAGACTGCCGTCCATTGGGATGGTCAGCATCTCTCGACCTCTTAACATTTCCTTCCCAAGTAGTTAAGTTTAGCCAAAAACAGTGTCCCTTAATCTGCTAATCAAGGTGCAGGTATCACTGTCAACAGTTTGCACCTTTTGTTAGTCAGAGTTCAGCATCCATTTGACCTGATCTCCAAGGAGCCGATCTCAGGATCCTTGGGTGCATTTGACCATCTCTTAGGAACATTGAATGCTAAGTGTCTATCCATGAATAAACCAGTCCTCTCTTGCTTGAAGCCATGCTGAAATTCCAGGAGGCTGCTAAGCGTGTGAGCAGACCAGCCGCTGTGTCCACTGATCCAAAGACCTTGCTGGCAAGAAGATATGTACTTCGGCAGAAGCTTGGCAGTGGAAGTTTTGGAACGGTCTATCTGGTGTCAGATAAGAAAGCTAAACAAGGAGAGGAATTGTAAGTACAAGGGCTGCATAGAAAGCTTCCATCGGCTACAAGGGGTGTGCGGTGCGGCTCCTGGATTCAGACCACAGAGGGCTATCCACTGTGCATTAAGCAAGACTATAGTAAAAGATAGGAGCAGTTCCTTGATGGGTCTCTTCAGCTAGGCTTTGAAAGGCATTTGAGCAGATGAATAACGTGAGACCGAGAGCAGGAAATGAGGTGGATTAGGCGAAAATATTTTTATGGCTACCCCAGTCTCAAATGCAGCATTGCTTGCACTTAACTTGATTGGATCTCCCTGGGTGGAAAGAGAAGAATTGCTTATAGCGATTGCACCGTTGGCAATGAGATGAACTACAAATCAAGGTTAATGTACGTTGGGAGCGAATGGAGCATCCCCCAGGGAACACCGCCGCCCTCGCTGCCCTCAAGTCGATTCCAACCCACATCCACCCTAGAGGACAGAGGAGACCTGTCCCAATGGGTTTCCCAACTGTCCGTTTTTATGGGAGCAGAAAGCTTCATCTTTCTCCCCTGGAGTGGCTGGTGGGTTTGAGGGGCTGTCTCTGTGGATAACGGTCCAAAGCCTGCTATTTCACCAGACGCCCTTACGCCCTTGGAATGGAAAGACGGTATCAGTTTCCACAGGCTTTGTATGGAACTCAGACGTTAAACTAAACCGGGACTCGCACGTCGTTAGCTGATGTTGATTGCTCTCTTGTGACCTCCTCTTGTAACTGAGATAGAATGATGGAAGGTTCTACAGTGTGTCAGGGAGTCTCTGCTAGATGGGGCCAACCTCAAACTTTTAGGTCAAAGCCTTTTGAATTTACTGTGGTGAAGGGTTTGTTTGTGTAAGACACCTGGACCTCAGAAACATAGGAGGTCTTATAAAGAGTGAGGTGTGACCAGAGCGCAGATGAGAATTTTAAAGGGACAGAGCATGAATGGGTGCTGATGGTGTGAGCAGAGACGGCGAGACCGGGGACACAAGATGCAGTGTGCAGCTATCAAACTGTTGACGAGGAAAACGGTGAGCGGGTGGATGCTCGTGTGGTGTGTGCACGTCCACCAAGAAGAAAGAGAATCTTAGAGTGTGGAGAAAGAGAGGCTGAGCGAGAACAAACCTCAGAGAAAGCGAAGGAAGGGAGGTTGACCCCAGAAGTCAGCCCTTAAACAGAGGCCTTTAGACAACAGCCCCCTTCCAGCTTGTGCCACTCGATGTATACGTGTGAGTTCAAAAACTTCCCTGTGGGAAATGCGGGCTTACGTTGTCAGGCCATGCAAACTGTGACGGTAAACGCCCCTGATGTTATTTTGTTTTAAACAGCCCCTGGGTCCAACTTTATTCCTGTGGCTTGGGTGAAGGGCGGCAGAGCGGGTCATCAGTTTTCCGTTAAAAAGCTTATTTGAAGTCTGAGTCAGCTGACCCACTGCGATGCCCTCAGCGTCCCTCCCCTGAGCCCCCTTCCTCCCCCGCCTCCTGTTTCCATCCCTCCTCTCTTCCTGACCCTCTGAACTCTGTCCTTGGGGACATGCATTTT